TGTTCATCACGTTCTTGGACGCGATGCTGCAGTCGATGATATTCTCGGCGCCCTTCCGGAAGCTAATGGTGCCGGTGATGATCAAATCGGTTCGCGTGGATCCCAAAGTGATGTTCGCCGCCATCGCCCGCAACCGCTCCAAAGAGGAGATGAAGGAGAAGGAGGCGGTTCAGGAACAGGTCCGCGAGTGGCGGGACATGAATCTGGATGAGGGCGAACAGGCCGGCTCTATACTGGCCGAACTCGACCAGACCAACGAGATATTGGATCAGCTGTACGAACGCTTCCACATCTACAAGTCAATGATGCCCTTCTATGTGGACTCAAACGCTAAATTACTGGTCACTCACGGCTTGGAAGTGGAGAATGTGATGGCGTTTCCCATTCCCCGAAAAGTGGACAATCAGGACCTCGGCCTCGACTCCTATGAGTTTCTGCCCAATGAAGACCTGTGCGCTATCGACCCGTGCGATCGTCAAACGCTCAATCAATACTTGGAGGTAAGACTTGTTTATTGCTTGTAGAATCGACAATGTAGATTACTATTAACACTACACTCTATACACTTTCATTATAACTGTATGTGGTAGATATAAGTTGATGTGATAATTAGTATTCATCAGTAATTTTACTGACAAAATGGGAGAAACTCGTGTTTGACTTATAATTTATAACCGTAGAGTAAATTTTAATTTATACATGTTTGCAAAGTATACTGTATGGCACACACAGTAAATGAAGTTAGTGATGTAATTGGCACTACAGACTGTACTGTATATTGAATTAGAAGTTTCAAACTAAAATAAGTTACTGTAAAATAGTACAGTAACTGAATAAATGTTTGTTAATTTGGTTTTTATATCTTAATTATTTATAAATTATTAAGTAAAAATTCAATAATAACTTATTATTTATGTTGATGTATTGATAATAATTTTAAACCAACTTTATTAGTTGTACATATTTGTATTATTAGTTATATTTATTAATTGTTTGTAAATAGTTATGCAAATCAATGGCATCTATAATCAAACGAAACGGTGCAGAAAAAATTAAATGCGATTACAATTACCGTAATATCGGCTCAGATGTGATTCAAGGCTACCGAATGGCCAACAATGAGAGTCACGTAATGTTTAGAGCGTTGGACAAAATAATGCAGGCCGTGGCGCAGGACGACCACAACAACAACACCGCCGTAGCAGACAATAACATAGCTTATAGAGTTTGGGCCGATATGCAGGACAGGCGAGAATTTGATCTCAACAAAGATCTCATTCATCAGATCCAGAGAAACGAGCGACTCATCCGAAGTCTCGTTGATATCGTCAATGAGAATCTGGTGCCGCAGAAGACGATTAAAGTGTTGGAGATAAACGCGATGGGAGGCGCGCAGGTGTTGGCCCGGGAGGTGGAGAAGTATGTGGCCGACTATCACATGTATCCGATTGATGTCGAGTATAAGCTGGCGGTGACCGCGAAGGAGGGCTGTCCGGAGTCGTTGGCCGACAGGACTGCGGTTTGGGACCCGAAAGAGTCGTCGTT